TTTTTTTGTTGATAAAAACAAGATTTTTTATTACAGCAGATGTGATTCCACACCAAGAAAAACTTGCAATTGATACCGCACTTCCAAAGAATGAGAATTTATTCAAAAGAAAAAGATTTTATTTTTATTAGTCGATGTCAAATAAATATATTTTTCTCTTTACTTTTTCTGCTCACTGATATGCATGCAATGCATTTTCCCCACCCCCCTCGTAAATCAAGCAGAAAACGAAATCAGCATGCCACACCCTTGAGTTTGATTGACGGCCTAAAGGAAAAAAAAACATTCCTCCCTTCCCTGCCTTCAAGGTCACGGAGGAAATGACGTTTCTCTGGGTAAACGGGGAAAAAATTTTCCCCCTTCCTTACATTTTCCTCTCTTCAACTTCAAGGATGAGTTCAATTTCCGCTTTTTTCGTTCTAGTTCAAAATGGCGGGAAAATCGAGCAAAATTTTTCCCGGTTTTCTGGTTTCCCGGTTATCTGGATACCGGATAAATGGTTCTCTACTGTATATATATATTTTGCATACTATGCCTACTGCTTTTTGTGTTTCTTATTCCGTTTTGAAAGTCAGCTTTCTTTAATCTAGATTGATTTTCAATTTTTTCACTATTATTATTATTTTACTATTATTATTTTTTTGCTTCCCCTTGTTGCAAGATTTTAAATATAGTATTTATTCAAACTATACTATAGTGGTAGAACATAAGTTTTATCGGTAGAACATTGAATATTTTTAAGTTATAAAAAGCCAAGCAAAACTAAAACAAGGTTAACAATATATTTTTTTTTATTCTGATTCAGATTAGGAAAAAAAAACTTTTATTTTTGTACTGAAATAGCTTGTTTAATTTACTTCATTAAATCCTTTAAAATCGTGCTTCTCTTCTCTTGAAATTTGACTGTTAAAAAATTTTCAGGTTGTAAGAATAATATTGAATTTTCTATATTTTTTTAATTTACTTTTTATTTACTTTTTAATCATAAGTTTATTATTAAAACATTGTAAAATAAATTTTTTATTTTATTATAAGTTAAGTTAATAATAATATAATTTCAAAATTTAACCATATATGACCATTTAATTACCATAATATGACCATAATATGTTTATTATATTGTATTTTCATGATGTTCAGAAAAAATGAATTTTATGTTTAAAAAAAAATGTAAATTTTGTCGTTTAAACAATAATTGCCCAACATATTTGAAACTTGCTTCTTAATAATAATAATTTTTTAAAAATGATAATGATTTTTCATTTTAGCTCCATGAGTTTTCTATAACAGCTGGTTTAACATGGCTTAAAATTTTTGAAATAATTGTTTTTAGGACATCTTATGTTTTTTTATCGTCAATATATTAACAAAACGAAAACATTTTGTAATTCACCCTAGATTTAACATTAAAAAACTTACTGTAAAAATTTAAATTTTTCTTTGATATAAACACCATTTCACCCCCTCCAAGAAAATGAACTCAGTATGAATTTTTCAACAAAAATGTACATCTTAAGTATTTGCATTATTAAATCATAATATTATTATTTTTGTTTATTTATTAATTTATTATTCTAGTTTGGGGGAGGTAGGGCAAAATATAAATGCTGTTTAGCATGATTATCTTGATTAATATTTTTCGTCCTTTCTTGGCACATGCAAACATTTTTAATGCAATAATGTTTTGGTGTTGTGCTTTTAATATATATATATTTTTTAATATGTAATACTTTTTTAAATAATTTTGAATCACCAGCACTATTTCAGTACAGTCGAACTTCGGCAATTTGAAATTCAGGATTATCCAAACTGGTATTACTTCTCTAAAATTATAAATAAAAAGGATTTGCTGTAAAAATTAATATCAATGTTAAAAACAATTACTCACTTAATAAAACAGTAGGAAGATTAACACAGATTTGTGTTGAGATGTAATTTAAAAATTTTATCATTTAAATGTGAGTCACATAATTCCTGAAATTTTGAATCCCAATAAGACATCACCACAATAATAAATATTATGATTCACTTGTGTGCTTATAATTTGTTTATTTCATAAATTTGATTAGAATACAACAATGAAAAGTGATTAGCTAATACCTTGATTTATTTTAATCTTTAAAATGATCTCTCTTTTCTGCATTAAAAAAATTCTCTCCTCTCACATTTTGATGTAACACAATAGGAAGACACAGATTTGCCGATGAAAATTCTGGAAAATACGCATTGTAATTGAAATTTGGAAAAAATCCAAATTTTCATTAATTTGAACTTACAATGGTTTCAATTTTGTTTGAAGGTTCTACTTGATATTAAAAAGTATATTGTGATTTTTAAAATTTTTTAATTCAAAATAATTGCACTTTTTTTACTGTTTAATCCTCTGATCAAATCAAATTATTATTTTTTAATCCTTTTTAAAGTTTTGGAGGAAAAAAAAAAAAGAATGAAACATATATTTTTCGCCTGATATACTTCTTTCCATGTGCTTGAAAAGAGTTTTTTTTAATCATTTTTTCTTATTTTATTTCCTTAATATTTATTGTTCTTTTCTGGTGCATGTATCTGTTTTATTTAATATATTTTTGTGTCATTTCTATCATTTTAGTATAATAAAAAAATTTTGTTATTTGGTTTTGTGATAAGTTAAATTTGGGAGAACATTTTTTCCCTGTACTCTATCTCGTTATTTAAAAATGGCAAAGCAGGTTTTGCAATGTGGGGTGAAAATGCAACTTGCTCTATGCATAACTACCAGAGGGTTAAATAATATTACATACCTTTTCATATGTGTATATGTGTATTTTGCCAATTGTTTATATATACTAATATAAGTGTTATTGCAGGGTAATATGGAATTGGAAGAAACAATTAATGGTTGGAAACAGCCAATGCATGTGATGGCTTATTTTAAAGACACTGTTGAGCCTAGACCAAAAAACTTTTTAGGACGCTTCTTTTCTGGTTTAGAATAACTTTCAAAATAAGTATATGTTTGCGATTACAAATTATTTGTAAATAAATATTATTTAGTAATTTTGAATAGCACCTTTGTAGCACTTATATGATTTTTGAAGAATAAAATTCTATTGGTTATTATTGTGTCTTTAAATTGAATAAAACTTGTATAAAACTGATAGCTACTAAAACTATATTTGTGTTTTGGAAATATGTATGGTTTAAAAAAATAAAATTTAAGTTTGGAAGTTATGTTTCCTTTTCCTTTCTGTCTTAATGAAGTATTTTATTTCTTCTAGTTGAAATTAGCATATTTAAGTATAAGTACTGGAAAATTATCAAATTAATAATTTTCTGAAATATATAGACTAAGCTTTTTAGCTTAAAGGTACAATAACACTTTTTGTATGATATTAAATCTTACAAAGTAAGCTATTCTGTTATAGTAGGCAATTATTTAATCTCTTTCATTTTTTAGCAGTTTAGACACATTCAACTTTTGTGTCACTATATTACCTACATAATATTCCTACATATATACTACATATAATGTACCTAAATATATTCTTGACTTTTTGTTTACTTTTATTTTAGTTCTGCATTTGCACAGTTGCTTATTATTCATTTGTTTGTGCCCTAGCTGCGAATCCAGTCACTCAAATCCAGTCACTTTAAGTATTCACTTTCTTGTTTGCCATTTTCTTAAATAATAATAAAAAGTTTGATTCTTGACTTTTTGTTTAGTTTAACTGGCATATTTTGAAATAAATATAATCTTGTATTATAATTTTATAACCATCGTTGAACTGCGGGACGGTTTTTCAGTTTACCACGACCAATGTTCAACTCCGTATCTTTGTGAATGTAATCCAGAAGACAAGGGAACTCCTGGATCAAGTATTGGGTAAAATTTGCCTTTGTGCAGGACTTTTTGATGGAACTTACCCGCATTGGCATTATATGGAGAGGAAAACCTCCCATGGTTAGCCTGACGGCAAGGGGACTCTAACCCATGATATGTTTTCCACTGAGAATATTTTACCTCAGCACTGTGGTCGATGTGAGCTGAGTGCGGAATTCGAATCAACCTGCCATTGCCGGGATTTGAACCCGGTTCACCTCATTGGGAAGCAAGCTCTCTATCCCCTGAGCCACCATAGCTCTATATTATAATCTGGATCAGCTAGAGCCAAGAGAAGAATCTCAAAAAAAGAAGATAAAAAGTGTGAGTTGTTAAATTCCTCTAAATTGCAAATTAGTGCCCAGGCCAGAGTGTCTTGCAAACTGCAATGCCAATTGAAGTTAGGTAGCTTTGCTCATCTGGAAAATTCAGAGAAATTCATAATTTTTGGAAACAATTGGAGAAATTCGTTTTGTAAATACTTGAAATAATTTGAATTTTATTTAACTATTCTTATAATGTAAGCAAATAGTAAGTTATCTTTTAATTTATTAAAAAAAGAACTGTTCTATAACTATCTATTTTGAATATTTTTATTTTTGAGGTTTTTGAAAATTCTACTGTGTAAGTCTTACGTTTAAAAAAAATTCAAAACAACTTTAATAAAAGCTTGCAAAAATAATTAAAATTATATTAATAAATCAAAGTTTTAAAGGAGGGATTTTATTTTTTAATAAAATCAGTGTTCTTTTTTTAATTTATAGTTTGAACTTTTTTATTATGATAAGTCTCAATAAGTTACTTTACTTTACCCTTATGCTCTTAACTACGCCTAGTTAAAATATTTTGATCATTTCAACTTCTTGATTTTCATTCAAATCTTAAAACCTTCATTTATTTAACATATATTAATTAAAAAAAATATCAATGTAATGGTTTACATTCCTCAACTAATGATGCATTCAATCTATTTCAATATTATATTATAGTGAATAAAATATATATGAATGGAGAGAAAAATAATAATTCATGTACACAAAGTTAAAATATTAAATCTACACCTTAATATTAATATCATTATATTATTATTTTAGTTTAATATGTGGAGATATATTTGATCTAATTATATTTTTATTAAATGTAAATCTTGAATTTATATTTTAAATTAATTTCTCTTTCAATGAATCGTAAAAAAGAAAAAATTATTACTCTCCTTAATAGAATTTTGATCTATTGATTTTTATTAAACTTTAGCAAAGCATTTATTAATTAGATTTGTAGTAATTAATACTGTTTAAATATTTATTGAGTTTTAATGAAATTAGCCTTGATAAGCAAAAATTGTTGATAGTGTGCAAGTTGGATTTTTTTTCTGTCAGATTTTTTTTTCATTTCATTTGTTTAAGAAATTTATCTTTTATGACGTGATCAAATGATTTTAAATATATTCAAGTTTTTTTTTTTTAACATATTAGAGGATATAAGTTTCAATGCTTGTTTTATATATTTTTTAACCTTATATTTTTATTATTAAAGTTCAAAAGATTTTTTAATGTTATCCAACATCTATTTGTGATGAAGTGCAAGACATGTTTGTTTACAAGATTCTGTTTTTAACAACTTTAATTTGATTGTTGTTAGTTTCAAAGTTTTCGTTTGCATTTAATATTCTCCCTTGTGCCACATTTTTATGATTTTTTTTAAAATTACAAATGAAAAACAATGGTAATCCATTCAATAACTTGTTTGCACGAAATGTTCCCCCCCCCCATTGTGTCATATTTTTTAATAGTATTTTAAATCATGACAGAAAAGCAATTATAATCCATTCAATAATTTATCTGCACAAAATATTTTTTTTCACTTCAAATGAATTTCTTCAGTATTATAACATGTGATTTTCTATACCATCAAAATCTAGCTTAATTATTTGAAGAATGACAGACCTGAAAAATTTTGTAAAAAAGAACTAGAAGTCTGATTATATTTTGTGGTACCACAGAGTTTTGCATTTTTGTTTTATAATTTGTATTAGATATTTAAGAGAATTCATACTTTTTTCTGTTTTAAACTATAATTGCAGAGTTTCCTTGAGTACATAATTACATAAAAACTCTGAGTACATAAAGACGCTAAAAACTTAATGCGGTTCTAATTTTGTGAAGAAATAAAAGTAGTTAAAGTAGCAATATTTTATGTACTAGTAAGCTAATATACTTATACACTCTATAACAAAAAAATCGACGCACCTAGAAGGAGTTGTCCGATTGAAATGAAAATTTGTGGATAGGAAGACAATGTACAGAATAGTAAATGATTAAAATTTCAAAACAATTGAATTTATTGCAGAGTTACAGTAACAAGTTCAATAAGGTGTTGACCCGCCTCTAGCCTGGATACAAGCTGCCACACGGCGTGGCACAGACCGATAAAGCTTCCGGATGGTCTCTTGCGGTATTTCCTGCCAAATTCGATCCAATTGTCGAACGGCGTTAGCGAGCAGGGGGCGCAGCCCACTAGTTATAATAAATATAATAAAACAAATACCTTCCCATATCTTATTGTAATAAAATGGTGTTTGTGATTAGTTTGCCTTATTTCGTATTATTTAAATTCATTACTTTAGCTATAATATCATATATTTTCTTGCTACACTTCCTTCCACATTTTAAAATCACATTCATTCCGATAACATTATATTTTTTGACGAGGCAGATTTTATTAACCAAAAAGTCTACACTTAGGAAATATTAAAGCTTAAAATTTAAATTTTAAGTCGTAAAAAGCTAAATTAATTACTACATTTATACACATATTTTTAGCTGAATTTAAATTTGACATTTTAATTAAATATGAGCTAAAGTTTTTAATTTTTCATTATTTGCTTGATTTACAAAATTTCTAGTCTACAGATTCAACATGTTTTAAAAAAATATAAAGGTTTTTGTATCTTTCAGTATTTCTTCTTCGTTGTAAAGTTCATTTTAAAATGTCAAGTATTCTTCAGACATCTCTTGACAATATAGTAACTTATTAATGATATAGTTAGTGATGATTGACATAAAATGAAGATAGGCAATCCCTAACTTCTTCCATAAACAATATTCACCTGGACTCCTTACCCTCCCTATAATTATTTTAATGCTTATCATTCAATTTCCATAAGAATTGTTATCCATATATGGAACTTTGTTCTCTTTGATCGTCGAGGGCTGAAGGAAATTTGTTATTTATATGCTACATATCTTTTGAAACTTGAGAAAATAAGAAATTCTAATTATTTGTGCAAGAAAAAGAGTTATTCATTTTTAAACAATGTGCTAATAAAAATTTGAGTTTACAAAACGGTGATAAAGATTTTTTTAAATAATGATTTTATGATGTTTTGATATTGCAATGTTTTCGTTCCTGCAGATTTAATTTTAAAAAGTTGTTGATTTTATAATCCGGTGATTTCATTAGTGGTGGTCACTGTATTTGAGTCAAAACATAGGAAGAATAATATGTGCAGCATGTTCTGTAATGACCATCCTTGATTCAAATTTTCAAATCTTTGTCAAAAATGAAGTCTAAATAAGCACACAGATTAGCTGTCCCGTAAACATTATTGAAATTAGTAGAATCTATAGGGAGAACATGAAAATTCGTTAGATTGCCTGAAGTAATTTGGCGCTGTTTCTAATACTTGCCTTTCAATCATTTCTTTTTCCTATGGCAATCAGATTTTGTTGCCCTCCTTTTCACAAGTCATTAAATAGATTTCTTTAAACTTTTTGTTTATTCCTTGTTTAAAGATTAATTTGTGATACTTATATTGTATACCTTTTTAATTGAAGATTCTAACTGTACCTTTAAGTGGGTTAACTTGAGAATACTTTTTAAGGATATACATATATATGCGTGTGTATATATACACCGAAGAACCATTACATTATGAACACCCTCCATCTATAACAATGGGCTCGCCCAGTTTTTTATGGTTTCTCGCCAAGGAACAATGTTTTCATGGGGCACATTAGGACCCATAATCCTCATAGAACAATCCCTGACGTCTGTAAGCTACTTGAATATAGTTGCAGACCAGGTTCACCCTGTCATGGCAACAGTTTTTCCTGCGGTGGATGGTGTTTACCAACAGAATAATGCACCATGTCATAAGGTTCGAATCGTCGAGGAACATTCCAGTGACTTTCAAGTCGTGTCTTGGCCCCCAAATTCACATGACCTTTATCCAATAGAGCATTTGTGGTCCTACTTGGAAAACCAGATTCGTGCTGCCACATTACCCCCTCGCAATGTGAGGGAATTGCAGGACCAGTTGGTGAGCGCTTGATACCAGATACCTCTGACTACCTGTCAGCACCTTATAGAATCAATGCAACGGCGGGTGCTAGCAGTTTTGAGGGGTAAAGATGGTCCTACATGTTATTAGCAGGGTGGTCATAATGCAATGACTCTTCGGTGTATAATTTAAATTATAATGTAGAGCATTTTACAATATATGTCTGCACAATTTTTTTTTAGTGTGGTAAGTCAAACTTATTCTTCTAAATAGTAAGGGAAATTAAAAAAAAAAAAAGGAATGTTTTCTGTGTCACAAATATCAAACGCAAACGGAAAATTTTGAATATAGTGTTTTTAATAATTTTCAAGAAAGAATGTCTGAAAAAGTATAAATTTTTTACAGTTATGATTAATGATATTATTATTAATTCTCTTAGTATTATGAATTAAATTGCCATTAATTACAATGAAACTTTAAAAAAATCACCATAAATTTTTTTTAAAATTTAATTTCTTTTTTTACCGGACAAACTCAAATGATTCGACAATGTTCAATATACTGTTCTTCTTTAGCCCTAACCCAAACAATTGAAAGCATGCTCCTAGCAATTAGCTGAAATATTTATCAACAGCATTATTTCTGAGTGTCTCATAATCGGCACAAACTAGTTCTTTTATCTTAACCTCTTCTACTGATATTGTGACGTCAGTACAGACATTGTAAAGGTTTTTTTGTCACCATAGTCATGATTACCATCCTGATCAACGCATAATCAAAAATTGTCATTAAGTCATCACCCAAAATGCAATATTCTTGGTTACATGCCATAAAATATAAACTAAAAGACATAAACGTTTTTATTTATAAGTAAAATATTTTAATTATACTAGGAATCTCAATGTTAACTTAGATTATCTGTAATACCGAATATGTACTTCTGATGAGATTAGGCGATTAGATTTCTCGAGTTCATCTCAGACAAGAAAAGGAAACTTATCAAATGACAATTTTTTCAGATCAACAAGTATAAGTTATCTCAGAAATAAGAGTTATTTTACAATTTTATGCCCAAGAGACTGACAAAAAACTCAGGGATAATTATATTTATTGTTGCTATCATTAATCCATGTACAGTGCGTAAAGAAAAGAAAAACGGTCCATCCTGAATAATTTTTGATCTAATGATCGGATTTTCACGTTCCAGTAATCATTCTTAATGGCTCGATGGGGTGACCTTAAATATGCTAATTACTAAGTGCAAACGATATTTTAAGTTGCGGAAACAGACACAAAAACTAACCTTCTCTGAATAAACATACCTTTTTTTCCGACGGATTCGGATTTTTGACAGAAAATATATGGGGGGCACCCTCAATTTGAGAAATATGGTCATAATAGTTTGGTCTGGGAAGAGCTCTAAAGTGTGGACTCTTTAAAGTTAATTTTGTTTTTTGTGTACTTAGCTATATAGCTATATCTCAAGATTTTTAATCGAATTGAAAAAATTTTGCAGACAATTATAAAAATCGTTTAGCCAAACATATAATTTCATGCAAAAAATAACCTTTATTAAATATTTGTTATTTTTTTTATCATTTTATTTAACAATGGTCGGAGAAATTTTGAATTGTAAGGAATATAATTGTTTTCATCATTTTAAAGAATATAATGGTGATGTACAAAATGTGAGCAAAATCGGTCGAATAGTTCCTGAGAAATGGAATTTCAAAAAAGTAAGATACTTAAAATTCGATTTCTCAGGAATAATTCGACCGATTTTGCTCACATTGTCTATTTTGCCATAGAAAATTATATGCTTTAAAATGATGCAACAATTTTTGCACTTCTAACTATGGTTCAAAATTTTTTCTACCTTTATTTAATAAAATTATAAAAAATAGTAAATATTTACTAAAAATTAATTTTTGCTTGTAATTATCTTTGAATAAACTGGTTTTATAATTGGGAGCAAACTTTTTTCAATTAGCTTTTAATGTTCTCGAGATATAGCCAAATACGCAAAAAGTGAAATTAAGGGTCGAAACTTTGGCGCGCTCTCCTGACCATATAGCTCCGTCAGGAGACCAAATTTCCGTTGGGACCAAATTTCCCAGATTGTGGCTACCCTCTATATTTTGGTTTTGAGAAATCTAAATCCACCGAAAAAGCAGGGCATGCTTATTCAGCGAAAGTACGTTTTTAAGTCTTATTACGTATCTTAAAATATCGTCTGCGCATTTATTAATTAGCTTATTTGAGGTCACCCCCTCAAGCCATTATGATTGAGGAGTCCTAGAACGTGAAGATCCAATAATTAAATCAATAGTTATTCAAAGTGTTTTTTTTTCTTTTTCTTTTGCTCATTGTTTATCTATTCTGTGACAAAAATGCAAAACATATTGAAATAAATAAATATCTCTGAGTTAATAAATTATCGATTATAAATTAGTAAAAGTTTCTTATTATTTTCCTTTCATTTTTTATTATGATACATAAAAATACATATAATTTAATGTAAAAAGTTCTAAAATATTCATTTATTTGTTAAATATTCATTTATTTAGAAAAACAAAAAAGATTAAGAACAGTATTAAGAGAGCATCATATATTCATTTATTCTTTTAGTCTAAAAGAAAAAAAAAAGAGCACGTTAGGGAGAACATGATGTACAACTAATTGATGATAAAATGCTAAACATATGGAAACTAAATATCTAAGAGATAAAAATTATCGATTATGAAATGATGAATGTTTCTTATTATTCTCCTTTTATTATTTATGATTCACGAAAATGCTTACAGTTTAATGTAAAAAATTCTGAAATATTCATTTATTCGTTTATGAAAAAAATACGAATATTGTTGTGAGAACACCATGTATACAACTAATCGATTACTTATTATTCACCTCCAGATAAATGAGAAGCAAAATTTGAAAATTTTCCTATTATTTGAACACCTTCAGAGATTTAAATATTAGATTAAATATTCGTGATTCTTATTACATTTATTTCAATTATTTCTTTCCTAATGTAAACAAAAATTAAGGAAAGGGATTACCCTTTGCATGTTTAACAGCTGTTTAAACTCAATCGACGAAAGGCTTATATCTCGGTTATTGCATTTTCAGAATTTCTTGTATTACTTTGTTTAGTTCCGGAGCGGTAATAACTCTTACTGCATCTTTTGATTAAGCATAACAGTAAACTTTTAGTTTAAATTAAATTATTACTGGACACTTGTTTAATTTAATGCTTTGGACTTGATGCTATGGAAGATAAATATTCATTAGGTATGTGAACCTTTTTATTACGTAGCATTCATAAAAATGTGAAAATTGATTCCTTTTATATTTCCTTTTCTTTCTTCAAAATATTTAGCAAATAACTTATCTTCGGCAAACTCGTTAATTTTTTTTTGTGCTATATTATTAACCTGTTCACTAGGTTTGACGAAATATTTCGCCATACACGAATTACTACTGCAATTGGCATGGCGACAATTTTCGTCATGAAAATTACTTGAGGTGTGAAGATATTACTCATAACTATGATGAAAAGAGTCCTCGTTTAACAAATTGAAAAAAAATGGGAATGTAAACGGGTAGAATAATTATTTTTTTTTCTTCTTTATGAATTTTATCTATAACAACAGTCACACTGTTTCCCTAATTGTTTTTCAAGCAATTGCCTGTTCATCCAGTAAAATAGAATTTATGTTGTTAAGTGTTTAAATGACTAAAATTTGATCAGCGTATTTTTTTTCCAACTGATTCTCGTTGGCTTCCATATGGTATTATAAGTATTATAAATATAAAAAAATATACATTCAAATATCTGTCGTAGTTCTGGCTCTTTGCAAACTCGAGCTCTTTGGCAAATCCTGATCTTACCAAATCATAGCCATCATTTTACAATGCGCCATGCCAATTAGAAATGTCTCTAACATTTTCCAATCAGCCTGATACTCTCAAGGCTTATTGTAATAAGCCCTGATACATTTAAAATAGCAAGTAAATATACCATTCGTTGCTCAATCAGCCTGATTTATGCCATTATGTTAACAATGAGCCTGAATATTTTTATACTAATTAGAAAATGCATGGAATTATCCGAAATTTTTAACTGTATAAGTATCCAATCAGCCTTGCTTAATGAATTTGATTTACTACATTTCTCAATCGAGTTTTACTTAATAGAGACTTACATGGCTCATTGTATTAGCATTACAAAACTCATTGTAATAAGGTAATTCAAATTCAGGCTGAAACTTCGAACAATTTTTGATTCGCTTTAAGGCTTACGGGCTGATTATGACGAGTCTGAAAAATATCAGGCTAAGCAGAGAATACTGGAGGAAACACTTTCAGTTAGCTTGGAGTTTTGAAAAAGTTGCAAAATGCCGATTTTTTTAATTAGCTTACGATGCATCTTGCCTTTTTACATAAATTTAAAAAAAATGAGGATTGTTAAAAGAGCTTCAATTTCTGATTGGCTCTAATGAAAAAAAAAATGTTTGAAGATTGTTGAAAGAGTTTCAATTTCTGATTGGTTCTAATTAATAAAAAAACGCTTGAAGATTGTTGAAAGAATTTCAATTTCTGATTGGTTCTAATTTAAAAAAAATTCAAAATAAAAAGTAATATTTTTAAAAACCACGTTTTAGTAGTGGAGAATAATAATTAAGAAAAAAATTGAAAAACGAAAAACGTGGGGCGCATGAAATACATAACAGTAATGTTATATTAGTGTGTGTATGTAAAATAG